GCTGGTGGGTTCAAACTGCCAACCTTTTGGTTAGCAGCCAAGCTCTTAACCACTGTGCCACCAGGGCTACCCTCTTATCAACATGTGTCACCAGAGCCTAGCACAGTGCAAGGCACAGATCAGTTGTTCAATAAACTTTTGCTAAATGAACAAATCTAAGTCAGGCAACAAAACGGTGAGGAGGATGTGCACATGCAAATGCCTTTAGTATGTACAGGAGTCCAATATAAGGCTTGAGATAAAGACTGTGTATCAGGTACTTTACAAAAGTAAATCTCCTTTACTTCCATGAGTAACCTGAAAAGACAGGTAAATCCCACTGTCAAAATGGGAAAAAAAAAAAAGAGAGAGAGAGAGAAAAGATTTTCAGAAAGGTGAAGAATCTGGTCTACAGTAATCCAACAAGGAAGTGGAAGATCTGAGAGGTAACAAAGGGTTCTAAAACCAGATTGCCTGGCTCCATCGCTTTCTTAGCTGTTTGATTTTGTGGAAGTAATCTATTTATCAGGTTCCTCATTTGTGAAATGAGGATAATAATAAAACCTTCTTCAAAGGACTGTTATAACATTTAAATGAATTAATATATATAAATCATTTACAACAGTGCCTGACAGTCTTTTATAAGTGTTAGCTCTTATCATTACCTTTAATAATATTATCAATGCTGCTCACTTATAATTTTATCTGCTTATTTGCCCATAATCTGTACATGCCATACTAGAATATAAATTACAGAATAGAAGAGACTACATGATTTTTCTTCTCTGATGGAGTTTTCTTAATCAGGGTACTGAAAGAATTAACTCCTGCAAAAACTGATTTGAGTGACAATTTTCTCAGTCTTCCCAAGGATAGTCAATAGCTGGTATCATTCTAGGTGTATAGGATATGAGTTAATTCATTACATACCTTAGAGCACTAGGGCGTTTTACTGGAACTCTGGATGAGAAGGGCTGCTCTCGGTTATCATCAATGTCTGGCACACAGTAGGTGCTCATTAAATATTTGGGGGAAAATGTATATTTCCAAAGGAATAGTGTCCAGCAAAGAGTAGATGCTGAATGTCAATTTTATTCCATCCCTTCAAAATTCCTATAACCTTTAAAAGTCTGATTCTAGGTGGATCATTTGTCTTCAAGGAGGAGCTTGCCTCTACTATTCCAAGTAAAAAAATGCTAAAAAGACACAGCAGGAAAGCCAAGAAACAAAGACACCAGTTGGCAGAAACTATGTGGAAGTGGTAAGAGGTGGAAAACAGGTAGGCTTTGGATATGCAAGAGGAAAGAGCAAAGGTTATTCTAGGCCAGGGAACAGCATAAGCAAAAGCAGTGTTACCCAAAGTTTGGAGCACATTGCACTGGTACTACAAAAATGATTTCAGGCTATACACGGACGAGCGTTTTTATTTTGATAGTTACATATGCACATATTTTACATATAACTATAACAGCAAATTGTGATTTCAAATTTTTACTATTTTTAACAATGCTAAAGTAAATAGTGCCTATTTAGATTTGTTTTTTAAATGAGTTGTTTAAAAATGTATTAAATAATAGTGCACAGGCTGTAAGCAAATATGGTAAAACTGTCAGATTTTTAAAGAGTAAAACTTGGGGAATACTAAGCAAAGGCATGATCATATGAAGGAACCTAACATGCTGAGAGAGAGAAGCCATCAGTCTTTTGAATGAAGCCAAAGTTTTATCCTGAGTAGTAATTCCCACCAGTTCTCAGTATCTCACTTGCAGTATTAAAATTCTTAACTGTAAAATTCTCATTTTCCACTAAGATGAATCTGCCACATATTTTAAATTCATTTACTCCCAAAACAAAGATTAAAATTTTTTAAAATATTCAAATAGATATCTGAAATATGGACTGACCTGCATGTAGCTTGGTTAATTTAGCTGAAAATAGGGAGCTAAAACCTTGTATTTTGTTAACAAGAAGGAATTAATTTATACAGTAACAAAATATGAATCATATCTACATCAGGAAGGTGTTAAATGTTTAAGAGTAAAAAGGCAGCTTTCCATTTCCACCTTTCTCTCATTAGAATTAACCTACCAATAGCCAAACTAAGTCAAGCTAAGAGATGATAAAAATAGTAACACTGAAGGCTTACCATGTGCCAGGCACTGTTTTAAGTTCTTTACCTGCATTAACTCATGCATTACAATCCTATGAGGTATACTGGTATCTCCATTTTATAGCTGTAAGGATATTAAGGTACAAAAAACTGGTAGGTGACAGAGCAGGGGTTTAAACCCCGGCAGTTTGGTTATAGAGTCTGAGCTGTTAACCACCAGCCAGCATTTCTCTCAAGAATGATGAGATGATTGATGATTTTAAATATTCCTCCATTCCCATTATGTCAGGAGAGACATAATTTTCCAAGGTATAAACCTTTTTTTACCTAAGTTTCCAGTCCAAGATACAGCGGACTCAGTTGGAAGAAAGTGGGAAGAAGAGTATTACAGAGATGCGGGGCAAACTAGGCCCACGATTATTCAAATGTAGACAAAGCATCAGAAGCCTCAAGAGGATGGCAGAATGACACTGTCCACAGGACTGGAAGAAAAACAGCCAAAAGTTGGTATAAACAGAAGGTGAATCTTATTTCTACTGGGCCCTTTGACTGTGACGGCTTTGAGGGAGAAAATTCTACCATCTCTTTCCCTTCATGTGACAGTCAATACACAAATATACAGACTGAAGACTGACTAGGTGGAGTAAGAAGAAAGGGTACTAGAAGGCTGAAAGCCAAGACTTGACCCGTGAACCGCAGTGTTAGTTTGATGTAACCTGGTGAACATGAGCGAAAATTTATAAAGTGTGTGCTTGATGTTAAGGTGTGGAGGGCATGATCACCGGGGTGGAGGTACTGGGTGGTCTGGGGAGCCGAGAAATCACCCTAAGATGGGCTAACAGGGATGACAGTTTCGAGTGTTTCAGTGCTTGGAAGAGCAGGTATGGATGTGGGCGCAGGTGTTTTGGGGATGGAGGGAGCTTCTCGCTTTGGGCAATACTAAGGGTGGTCTGGAAAAGAGACAAGGTATAAAGGGGCAGCGATGAAGGTGTGCAGGTATAAGGGAGGAGGGAGACTGACAAGAGGAAAAGAAGGGGCGAGGCCTTTTCGAGGAAGGTAAGGGGGATCCTAGAAAGCAAAGGAAGAGAAACCATTGGGGGTGGGGCGGGGAGAAGAAATCCTCTGGGGAGGTAGACCTGCAGAGAGAAATGGGCCAGGGGACAGAGGCGGCCCCTGAGAAGGCCGAGGGCACGCCGCAGAAGCAGGGGATCCAGGACCAAGGGGGGAGGAGGAGCAGTGTTGGGGGAGAGCCCGCTCGGCGCAGGCTAGCTCCCGGGGGAGTGGGGGCGGGGGAAGGAGAAGGGAGAGGCCAGGGCCGCGGCGGGGACCGCGGAGGAGGAAAGGCACCTACCCGGACTTGCGGGGCCGCAGCGGGCAGTCCCGGCGGCGGATCCTCTCAGGCTGAGGCGGCGGCCGCGGCTGCCCCGGGGTCCGAGGCTGCGGCGGCCGCGGCGGCGGAGGGGATGGCGGCGAGTCTCTGTGGCGGCCGCCTCCGCCGAACCGCATCCCTCCTTCCCGCCCTCCTTCCCTATCTCTCGCTCCTAAACTTCTTCCCCGGGATAAACAAACCCGCGGCCAGGGGCGGCCGCCTCTGCCGCTCCCGCCCCCGCGCAACCCCCCCGCCCCGGGCCCGTCCGGGCTCCGGCTTCCGAGTTGCCACTCCAGCCCCAGCCCGCGAGGGCGCGTGCGCGCGGCGGCGGCGACGGCGGCAGCGACTCGCGAGGCTCTTCCTCCCTGCCTCCCGCGCCAGGCACTTCCGGGCGTGCCTGGATCCGCCGCCGGATTTTGGAAATCGCCGCCGCCGCTGCTGTTGTCGCCTGGTACTGGGCGTTTTAGCCTGGCCGGCTCACCAGTTCATACCTCACTGAGGGGGGAAGAGGCGGGGCCTGGCTTTGCACATACCCCTTACTGGAGCAGGGTGAAACTTTCCTTCACTAAAAATAGCTACGTTGCACGTCCTAACTGGTCTAATCCACATAGGGTGCAAAAGGCAGCCACCTTTTCAGCCCACAGTTTTCTTGGGGCTGCACCAGGCTTAGAAAGCCAAGGTACAACTTTCATTGAGCCCGTGTTGCGAGCCGAGAACTGTATGAAATGCTAACCCAAAGCCAACAGTATACAGTCGCCAGCGGGAAATACAGAAAACAGTTCCAGTAACATATGAAGTGCTACAGTGGAGCAGTTTGCTGTTGGATGAGATGAACCGCGGATGGAAGTCTCAGGCCTAGGAGAGGGGGCGGCCGAGGATACTGGGGAAGAGCTGAGGGCTGCATCTCAAGACGTTGGTAAATAAAGCTGTTTCTAAGCAAACACCTGACGAGATGAGTGACTGCCTCAAGTTTAGAGAAAAGGATGGCAAATAACTTTATTCAGCACCCTCATGGGAAAAAGATACTTGACCTAGCTGCCAGGAGTAATTTCATTAAAGAGGTTTGAGGGCCCTACAGTTGAAGCTTTGCCATATTAGGCTTAAGTGTCTTTCAAGAGCCCCAAGTGTTTTTACGTGAACTGATTGTGCATTAATCACCTTCTAATCTGATCGGTCGGCAGTTCGAATCCACCAGCCGCCCCTTGGGAACCCAATGAGGTTGTTCTACTCTGCCCTATATAGGGTTGCTATGAGTCGGAATTGAATGGCCGGCAACGGATTTTTTTTTTTTTTTTTAATCTGATCGTTCACCCAGCTTCCTGAGAAAAGGGAGGGGGACTAACATTTATGAAGTACTTGCTACGTCCCAGGCACTGTACTAAACACATACTTGTATTTTTTTTTTAATCCCCTCAATAACTTTTTGGCATCTTCACAGTAGAAATTACTCCCATTTTACAGATGAAAAAACAACCAGAAATGTTAAGTAATCCAAGGTTACTGACGTTTGAATACTGGAAAGGCAGATCTCCCCCACACTTAAAATCAACACTACATTGACAGCCTTATTTACGTATTTAAAACACACAAAAACCAAACGCCAACCCTGTAGCAATCGAGTTGATTCTGACTCATGGGGACCCCATGTGTTACAAAGTAGAACTCCTCCATAGAGTTTTCTTGGCTGTAATCTTTATGGAGGCAGATTGCCAGGCCTTTCTTTTGCGGTGCTGCTTGGATGCGTTCAGAGTCACCAATCTTTGGAGTAGTCAAGCACAAACCATTGCCGCCACTCACGGACCTCGCAAAACATGTGGAACATACTTAGTGCCAAAGCTTTTCAAAAAAGGAAATGATCAGCATAAGCCAAGAGTTCAAAGTTAACTTTCATAAAAGACATGGGACTTGAATTGAGCTTGGTAGAATGTTTATGCAGATCAGGGAACTCCAAAAGTTAAAAACCAGAAGTGGAAGTGAGCATGGTTTGCTGGGAGCTGTTGGAAAGAGGAAATACTAGTAAATTTCATCACCTCCAAACCCAAACAAACAAAAAACAGTTAAAAATATTTGCTGTACTCATTGTGGGCCGCTGTTAACTTTATATGACAGAAACAGTGAAAATTACGTATAATTTTTGACTAGACTTTTTAGCTATTTCAGCCTGTTAATATCATGACTTCTCTTTCATGAATCAATAATTATTGGGCACACACTAAGTGTAATGTGCTCAAGGGAATCAAATTATAATAAGTCCTTGCCTTCAAGTAGATTTCCAATTGGGAGTTAAGATATGAGTGGTACTTGGTTGGTTTCAAGTTCGGGACTGGTTCAATTAACTTCCACCACAAGGATGTCAAATTGCTCCTCACAGTATTCTCACCATATCTTTCCTAGGCTTGATCTCCTTGCAGAATTCGATGACTTTATCCACTGATAAAACTATAGTAAATAGTAATAGTAAAGATGGCTTATAATAAATGCTAATAAAACTGTTGTGGTTTGGCAAAGTAAAAGATTGCTTTGTGGGCAGTAAACTTGGATTAAAGCTTGGTGCTATATTACCAGTTCCGTATAGAACTACCTTTCTTGATTTGATTTTCTACTTACTGGATACCTATAGGGAAACTAAATGGTTATAATACGATTTACTTATTTGCTGCCATAAATAAATTTTAAAAATAGAGAAATAAGTAACAGCTTTATTACTGGTGGGCAGCCCTGGTTGCCCAGTGTTTAAGGACTCCGCTGCTAACTGAAACCCACCAGCTGCTTCACGGGAGAAAGATGTGACAGTCTGCTCCTATAAAGATGCAGCCTCAGAAACCCTGTGGAGCAGTTCTACAGGGTTGCTATAAGTCAGAATCAACTGGACGGTAATGGGTTTTATTTATTACTGGTGTAAGAGCGTAGTATGCCTCCAACAGTCACGTATCAGGCTTGCATCACTTAAGGCACAGCCATTAGGATTGTCTAACTCCTTAGACACCAAAAAACTTTCTTATAGTAATTTGGCTACTCACTGTCAATTTTTTATAGGAAACTGACTATTCAGACTCCTCAACATATGTGACTGACTTAGAAGGTATACTTACTGTAATTACTAGGTTGCCAGTTAGTGAAGATCAGAGCAGCCATTCTCTGAGCTTGATGAGTGCAGATGAGAACCGAACTTAACCCACCCCTCGGAGGCTCTGCCTGAAGAGCCAGCCAAGCGTCCCACCTTCATATTTTAGTGACTGCAACATCTTATTCTTCTTTTCTAAATTAAACACCACACATGCTCCCATTTCATGGCTGGGTATGCACAGGGGACTCACTACTGCCTTATATGCTGCCACCTGTTTTGTACTATCATTTTCCAATTCTAGTGGTCAAAAACTAAAGCATCCAGATCAAGGGAAAATAATTCACAAATCCTTAAATTATGTTCGCTTTAGAGGTCAAAAAAATAGTAATACGTTTGTTTACAAATGTCCTATTTTATAAATCTAAAATAATGTACTCTTTGAGCATTTTGCTAATACCTCTACCCTTTTGGTTTTTGGTGTGTTTTTTGTGGTGAAAATATACACACCAAAACATTCCCCAACACAACATCTACATTTACAATTCAAAGACATTGATTACACCCCTGCCCTTTTTAGTGCAGTCCACTAATCTCTACTCTTGTTTTTGGTTGCTGTGGAGTAATTCCGACTCATGGTGACCCCTTGTGTTACAGAGTAGAACCATTCCATAGGGTTTTCAAGGTTGTGACCTTTTGGAAGCAGATTGTAAGGCCAGTCTTCCGAGGCTCCTCTGGTGAGTTCAAACCACCAGCCTGCGGGCTAGTTGTTGAGCATTCAACCATTTTCGCCACCCAGGGACTCCATCTTCTCTACTAGTGGGCTGATTTTCGTATTTTTGTAACCATTATCCCCTCCTGTTAAACTTCCTGCAAGGAAACCAAACTCAGGCCTTACTTCCATAAGCTCACACTTGTGATTAGATATTTCAAATGACATTTAGTTTGTAGAATCAGTGTGAAGAGAAAAAGACAACTCATTTGCTAATTATTTTTCCCTGTTGTAAATATTAACCCTTTTATCTGGAAGAAAACACAAAAAACCTCATCTGCTTGTAAGTTATTGTACATATAAGTTCATTTTCTCTTCCTGTGTCTCCACTTCTTTTTCTCTCTGTGGCTTTTCATCTTGCTTGTAAAGTCTTGGTTGTGTAGTATTTCTATGTTATATGATACTCACTTTTTAAGGATACCGAGAACTTCAGAGCACAAGCCTTAGATCTATACCCTCGTGTAGCGATGCCCAAAGCACAAAAGGGCCAGTCAGTTTGATGTACTTACCACTCAGTCGACTATTTCCAAAGAACTGAGAATAGGTGGTTGTTGTTCTTAGTGCTGTCAAGTCAGTTCCAACACATAGCAACCCTAGGAACAACAGAACAAAACACTGCCTGGTCCTGTACCATCCTCACAATCGTTGGTATGTTTGAGCCCATTGCTGCAGCCACTGTGTCAGTCCATCTCATAGAGGGTCTTCCTCTTTTTTACTGACACACTACTTTACCAAGCATAATGTCTTTCTCTAGGGATTGGTCCCTCCTGATAACATGTCCAAAGTACTTGAGACAAAGTCCCATCATCCTCCGTTCTAAGGAGGATTCTGGTTGTACTTCTTTCAAGACAGATTTGTTAGCTCTTCTGACAGTTCACGGTATATTCAATATTCTTTGTCAACACAGTAATTCAAATGTATCAGTTCTTCTTCAGTCTTCCCTGTTCATTGACCAGTTTGCACATGCATATGAGGTAATTGAAAATACCATGGCTTGGGTGAGGCACACCTTAATCCTCAGAGTGACATCTTTGCTTTCAACACTTTAAAGAGGTCTTTTGCAGCAGATTTGCCCAATGCAATACGTCGTTTGATTTCCTGACTGCTGCTTCCATGGGCGTTGATTGTGGTTCCAAGTAAAATGAAATCCTTGACAATTGCAATCTTTTCTTTATCATGATGTTGCTTATTGGTCCAGTTGTGAGGATTTTTGTTTTCTTTATGTTGAGGTGTAATCCATACTGAAAGCTGTAGTCTTTGATCTTCATCAGT